AAACCATTTCCTGTATATTAAGAAAAAAAATCTGATAGTGCTCGTCACACAGCAAGTTCAAGATTTGCTTTTTCCTTCATTGTTTTTTTTCTCTCTCAAATATTTTCAGTCCATGGTTCGTATAAAGGACTAACTGCTCTGAATTTGAAAATACTGAGAGCATGTTTTCTTTTCTCTCTCTCTTAAACATCTGTTTGTCTTCAAAACATACCTATTACAAATTGTTTTATTAGCTATCATTGGATGTACTGGTTTGTACCTGAGGATAGATATACCCTGGTATTATCAGCACTTGGACTCAAGAAAAATACTAGTGACATGACTTAAAATAACAGGTTTATATAACCAAGGAAAAAAAAAAACAATCATTTACTTGGAAGTATTTTTTTTCTTTCTTTTATTGACACTTGTTTATTCCAGTTAACTTTTTAGGGTATGCTGGTAGTGTAACGAATATTGGCAAACAGCGTTCAAATTCTGTTACGTTCATTTTTGTACAAATGCCCCTTTGGTGGTGGGCCATGAATCTTTTTATTCACCCTTTCAGCTGTGGGTTAAAAAATCCTAGTTTACACCAAGCTTTCTTGTCTCAGATTGCCACCAACCTAAGAATCTGTGGTAATGGCAACAGGGCAAACCATTATCTTTCCAAAGAATGCATGGCAATTTACAAATAATAAAGAAAAGGAATCTCTGGAGAGTCAGGATCAACTACATCCAGCACTCTTTCTCTGTATTCTGTTTTGAACAATGTCATCTAGATGATTCCAATTCTTTTCAGCTCTTCCGTTTTTTTGTTTTTTTTCTTCCTACCTCTTCCCAGTATTCTGATAATGACTGGCACTTTCATGTTAAACAAATGGTGAATATACAGTGTTGATTAATAAAAGTGACTCACCTGACTTTTTTTATAAAAATATTTTTTGTCTATTGTTTTTGGGGTTAAAATAATTTTTAATCTTACTAATATAAAGACCCCTTCCCGATCACCTAGGAAAAAAGTTTATTCACCCCAAAGTATTCTACTGATAATTATAAATTTGGATATAAATCAGATTCAGGAAAAAACTCTGTGCAAAAAAAGTGACTCAGATATCATATTCTCATGATTAAACTGGTCAATTTAAAGAGCTTTTGACAAAATATTGAAAACTATTTTACAATACACTCAGAACAATATTGTAGAGAATTCTAGAACAGCTTAAATTAAATCTAGAGTATTCCAGAATATTCCAGAAAGCCTCATACAGTATAAAAACAGCTTGAAATAGCCACTCAAGTCACTAACCAGATAAAAGGGTACAAACGCGCATCAGAACCACTTAAGATATCTATTATTACCCTCTCAAAAGCAGGCAAGTTTACGAGAGAAATTGCTATAACTTCGCAATCAACTGTCTCTTGAGTGCTTAGGGCTCATAATGATGCCACTCCATCTCCAAGGAAGGAAACAAGGGGACGAAAGAAAAAGATTGATGATAGAACTGGCAGGGTAATCAAGAGAGAAGTTGCAAAGAATAGGACTATAACTAGCCAAGAAATTGCAGCCGGTCTAAGCAAAGAGCAAGGTGTTAGTTTTGCCTCTTCAACAGTCTGTCAGAACAAGGTTACAAATCTTGTTAGAACAAAGCTACAAATCTTGTACACAAAGGTTTAAGCTGCTAATAAGCAAATAATATTAATAATTTTAATATAATAATAATAATTGGTAATTTTAATATAACATCATTAATAATTGTGTTAGTAACCTTTTTTGTCATTACACTTTACTTTTCACCTCAGTTTTTAATGAAGCCATTAATTTCACTGCAATCTTTTCTTCCATTGTCCCAGTTCCAAGTGGACACTACTGTAAACTTTAAATATTCCATAGATTCCTTAGAAATAAAAGCCCAAGATGTGAGTTACAAATTGGAGATGCCAGCATCAAGCAGGTACAGAAGTTTAAATATCTGGAAAGCATTTTAACAGAGGATGGAAAATGCAACACTGAGATCCAAACATGTAGTGGCCTAGCGAAAGAAGCATTCCAAAAGCTAAGCAAGGTGGTGAGAAATGGAAAACTTTCTTTAGAAACAAAGAAAATAGTGTTGGTTTGTTATGTGATATCTATCCTCTTATATGGCAGCGAATGTTGGACAATTTCCCCATAGATAAGGAAAAGATCTAGCAGCAGCAGAAATGTGGTTCTACAGAAGGATGCTGAAAATTCCATGGATGGAACAAGTAAGCAACAAGGAAGTCTTAAAAAAATGGCAAAAGAAAGAACACTTCTACAAAGCTGAAATTCTTTGGACAAATAAAACTGGAAAACTTTACCCTCATGAAGCATATTGTAGGGTACGAGATGGGAAGGAATCAAATCACTTACTTGCTGAGCTTGTGTGAATGAATGGCAGAAAGGTGGGAGGTGTCGTAGCAAATGGAGAAAACAGCTAAGAGCCATGAAGGATAGGAAGTTTGGGAGAGCTATAATTGCCTATGTACTGAAGGGATGCAGCACATAGAAGACGTGTTGCTCTGTTAAAGCCATGCCTGCGATGTGTCAGGTTATTTTTTTCTTTGTTTAATCACAGCATCCAGTGGAGAAAGGGGTTGTTTAGCTGGGTTTGTTGCAAATCTGAAAGACCCAGAGTATATTGTTCTTTTTCGTATGGTACCTCTTTGTTTATCTTGTGATGCCATTCATTCACAAGCATGGATGGGGTTTGAACCCAGTTAATTTGCATAATTCTACTGACCCTGATATCAATGTTGTTGTTCTGTGTCATTCAGATACGATGTTGCATTCTCTCTGTGATTATTGTCTCCTAACCTCCATTCAACTCTCATCATAAAGGTCACACTTTCTACAGGGTGATTGAAAAATAACTCCCTATTTTAGGTATGATGAACTCTCCCATCTAATTATAATTATTACAAGGTGGGATAGTCCATCATACATAAAATAGGGAGTTACTTTACAATCCCCCTGTATTTATCTGGATATTATTATGCGGTATCAGTGTAAAATATCATTTCCCTGCCTTTTCTCGGCACTTGAGATAAAATAAGGTGCCCAGTCCTGGAGAATCCAATTCTTCTCTAAGACCTTCCTTACTGCAATAATAGTGGCGGAGATCAGTGTAATATCGACACAAGTATGGCAGTGGCTGTGAGGACTACACAGTTTTTGTTCCTGGCTCAGATGTATATGGGCACTCCCCCCACCGCATCAATAAAAAAAAAACGTTGGGTAAATGGAAACAAAGAGGACACTTATATTTAACATTAGGAAGAGACAATTGAAATTTCTAGGGTACCTAATGTGAAAAGAGGGGGTTCAAAAATTTGATACTCACAGGACAGATTGAATGTAAGAGGGACAGAAAAAAATAAAGCATAACCTACCTAGCAAGCTTGAATAAATAGATAGCGAAATAAAATTTAGAAAAAAATAAGAGAAAATTTATTAAGAGCTAAAAAGGAGAGGAAATTATGGAGAGCTATGATTCTAAACATTCTGAAGGGACACTGTACATAGGATACACCACTGCCTATTTACTGTGATAACTGCATTCAAACTCATCTTGTGGATAGAAGATTTTCTTGCATAACTAAAACTACAGATGAGGAGGGAAATTATTGGAAATAAGATTTCATATGATTTTCCAAATAAAGGACAAGAAATTGTGGAGAGCTATGCTTGCCAATGTTCTGAATATACACAGCACATAGAAGAATTGATGCATAATTTTTACTTACCAAACCAAATGTGTGTGTGTGTATATATATATATATATATATATATATATATATATTATTAAAGGTAATAAATCCATTGGTATGGATCCTAGAAATATAAAATATGAGAACTGATCCAGAAAAAGAGCTCAATGTATTTATTATTACAGAGCAAATAATTAAAGCACAATAAAATTCAAAATTACCTCATATGGGGAATAGGCTTATTTCAACTGATGAGATTCAGCAGTCTTATTCAACCCCTGGTATAGACTGAGTCTGTCGAAATTAGAAGTTTAACTACTAACATATGAGGTAATTTTTGATTTTATTGTTTTATATATATATATATATATATATATATATATATATTGTGTGTATTTAGGCAGCATCTTTTCATTCACACACGTTTCATTAAATAATATAGACAAGTGTTGTCTATTTATTTTATGTAAATTTTTTTCATAAATGTCTTTGATAATAACTTATGTAAGCCAAAAGCTTAGATGTATTAAAAAAATATGGATCAATATTGTGAATTTCTTTCTTCATTCAATGATAATGTTATTAAACTTATTAGACGTTATGAAAAAAATTTACATAAATGAGACAACACTTGTCTATATTATGTAATGAAGTGTGTGTGTGTGTGTGTGTATTATATATATATATATATATATATATATATATATATATATATATAAATAAAATTCAGTGAAAAAATTTAGATAATAATTAATTTAGTAGTGGATAATTAAATAACACTAAAATAGTGTAGTGTTGCTGCTTCAAGATCTATGCCCTACATTGTCCTTTTTTTATTTATATATATATATATATATATATATATATATATATATATATAAAAATATAGTCTTAAGATGTGCTCTATTTTGGGGATAAAGTGCTCAATATAGATAGAGCCTGTGCAAATATAAATGTGAACATAGAAGTCTACACTTAGAGACAACAGTTTGTTTCATGCTAGATGAAATCATCAGGCCTGATGATTGCATCTAGCATGGAACAGACTGTTGCCTCTAAGTGTTGACAAGCATGTACACACACACACACACACACACACACACACACACACACATATATATATATATATATATATATATATATATATATATATATATATATATATTTTCTGGTTTGTACCAATGTCATTTGTTTTTATGGTTGAATCCAAGATGTTTGCTTAATTCCTAATACATGACGTCTCTGATTCTATCCAACTTGTAAACCCAGAATATTTTTTTTCTCCCTTTCAGTTTCTTCCAATGGGAGACTATGGTGTTCAGGTTGTACACGTCACTCAGGTTGCAAAGAAAGAAAAGCAAAAGTAAGTTAAACCTCAAATTGGTATCTTTTATTCAAACTCTTCCATTCTGTAAATGCGTCGTCTTCATCATGTTTCTGTAGAGATTGTTTGATATCGCCTGATGCACAGGCATTCAATTGCTTCTGCGAATGAAGTCCCTGTATTTTAAAATCCCAGTAGCCAAAAGTGGCTACTGCATTTGCTAGAATATCCTCTCTCTCTTGTTCTCTCGCATCCTCTCTCTCTTTCTTGTTCTCTCGCATCCTCTCTCTCTCTCTTGTTCTCGCATCCTCTCTCTCTCTCTTTGTTCTCTCGCATCCTCTCTCTCTCTTTTTGTTCTCTCGCATCCTTTTCCTCTCTCTCTCTCTTGTTCTCTCGCATCCTCTCTCTCTCTCTTGTTCTCTCGCATCCTCTCTCTCTCTGTTGTTCTCGCATCCTCTCTCTCTCTTGTTCTCTCTCATCCTTCTTCTCTCTTGTTCTCTCGCATCCCTCTCTCTCTCTTGTTCTTTTCATGATCCTCTCTTCTCTTGTTCTCTCTCTCCTCTCTCTCTTTCTCTCATGCTCTCTCTCTCTTCTCTCTCGCATGCTCTCTCTCTTGTTCTCGCATGCTCTCTCTCTCTCTTGCTCTCTCGCATGCTCTCTCTCTCTCTTGCTCTCTCGCATGCTCTCTCTCTCTCTTGCTCTCTCGCATGCTCTCTCTCTCTCTTGCTCTCTCGCTCTCTCGCATCCTCTCTCTAATGTCTCAACCGTCTGGATCAGTCCTTCCTGATCTTTTGAACAGGATTAGATGTTTATCCCTTGTTTCATGTTTAGGATTGGCTTTTCACTTCCTAATAAAGTCTACTTCAGCTCTATACTCCTAATACTTTTCCTTTCATATGCTAATACACCACCATCACACAGTAAACCTCTACCTTGAGTGGCTCTTGGGCCTTGTATTTGGCGAACATTAATGTGTAAAAAAAAAAAAAAAAAAAATTGGCGGGGTGGGAGTCAAGCAGGATGAGTGCAGTTACACTTCTAAAGGCATGCTCAATTAGGGAGCGGTTCTCTCAACAAGAGTGTGTAGGATTTGGATTTGATGTGTAAATTATCCTGAAATTGATATCTGGACCAACAGAATTTTTCTTAGATAAAAAGAAAATTATAAATGTCATAGATAAGGCAGATAGACATTTTGATTACATAATGAAGCAAAAACATTTCAGTTAATAAAGACTGATTCCCAAAACACTTCTTTTAATCAAGACAGAATTTCAAACATACTGCATGTGTGAAAAGCCGAGCAGAAAAGAACTGCAAATTATTTTCTTGTTATGAACAACTGTCCGACCAGTCTGTATTGTTGAACTTAGTTTCAAGAACAATGCATAAGCCGCATTTTTCTACAACTAAAATGTAGATTCCTCATCCAACTGCATTCATTGGGAGCAATCTGCAGGTAAGTTTTCTGGCCTGGCACTCATAGACCAATGGCGTTGCGTTGAAATGGCTTATAACTTTCAATACTTCAAAACCCAAGCTAGTATTTTTTATCATCACTGAGATGAATGTAAGTTCTCACCAGTTCTGATGAATAGTTGCATTCTCACAGAGGTTCTTTGATTTTTTTTTTTTTTTTTTTTTTTTTTTTTTTGAATTGGTGGGGGTGGGGAAGTTCCACCTTGACGTCAAGTGAAAACATGTGGAGGAGAATATAGGAGGAGGACAACTTATATTCAAAGCCTCCAACTATGGGTTAAATAGTAGGGCAGTCTTGGATCTATAGCCTTGGTTGACAACAAGTAGAGGAGAAGGATAACTCTTTATTCAAAACTGTATGTAGCTATGGTGAAGTACATATTATGCAGCTAAGGAAAGGATCGGGGAATTTACATTGACACAAAGAGCCTGACTACAGTCAACCTTATGCGTACATGCATACATAATCTATCACTAAAACCCAGCCATGTCCACCACCCACACTCCAGCTCATGACTCTTGAGCAGGCTGGGCCTTTACAGCCATCACCATCACTGCAACCAGAGGGGAGAAATGAAATAAGGAGTGAGGATGACAAACCTGATGCTTGCATGCAAGTGGGTGCCGACCTTATAAAGCTAAACTGTTTCTGTTTATAGATATGTCCCTCCAATATGAAAAAGTGACTAGGACGTCCTAGAAACTAAGTCAACTTTTCTAGACTACTTAGCAACTAACATCTTCCCACTTTTCTTTTCAATTAAGTTTTCTAAATCTCACTGGACGCTGCCAGGAAACTTTAATTTTTAATATTATTATTATTATTATTACTTACATAATCATAGATTTACGCTAAAAGTATAAAATTATGTAAAAGACATCTGTAGAATAAGGCATACAGTTGCATTCAAAATACATTTAGTTGAAGTCAGAAAACTTTGGTTTGATTTGTTTTATGGCATATCAACACCTCAATGGGTTATCTAATGCTGACAA